AATATTAAACGGTTGAGAGGGGGGGAGGGGGTTGACCCCGAATGACGCAAGATGGGCTAATTGTATCTATTTGGGGGGTCTTTCCCCCCCCCCCCCTCCCTAAATTCTGTGGTAATATTTTCCTGTCAATTCTTAAACGTTTACTCTTGCTTTACCTCCTTTTCTCCTTTTCTGGTTTAGTTTGTCCTTTCTTTCATTTCAGTGAGAGGGGGGGGGCGGCGTGGTAAAAGCATCCCCCCTCATATCCAGGCTAATCTCCCTCCCCCCTCTCCATTTTACTTTCAATCCTTTATATTTTTGTATTGTAAAAAATGATACATGTAAGGGCTAGGAAGGCTCTGCTTGATTTAGGTGAAACAGGATGGATACAGCTATAAGTTAATTCTACGTATCCTCCCTCTATATCATCCCAGATTGTATCCTACCCCCCCCCCCCCCNATCCTAGATTCTTCATTTTTGATCCTAGATCCTAGATTCTTCATTTCTACTCCTAGATCCTAGATTCTTCATTTTTGATCCTAGATCCTAGATTCTTCATTTCTACTCCTAGATCCTAGATTCTTCAATTTTGCTCCTAGATCCCAGATTCTTCATCTTTGATCCTAGATTCTAGATTCTTCATCTTTGATCCTAGATCCCAGATTCGTCATTTTTGGTCCTAGATCCTAGATTCTTCATCTTTGATCCAATATCCTAGATTCTTCATCTTTGATCCTAGATCCCAGATTCTTTATTTTGATCCTTGATCCTAGATTCTTCATCTTTAATTCTATATCCTAGATTCTTCATCTTTGATCCTATATTCTAGATTCTTCATCTTTGATCCTAGATCCCAGATTCTTTATTTTGATCCTTGATCCTAGATTCTTCATCTTTGATCCTAGATCCTAGATTCTTCATTTTTGATCCTAGATCCTAGATTCTTCATTTCTACTCCTAGATCCTAGATTCTTCATCTTTGATCCTAGATCCTAGATTCTTCATTTCTACTCCTAGATCCTAGATTCTTCATCTTTGATCCTAGATCCCAGATTCTTTATTTCGATCCTAGATCCTAGATTCTGCATCTTAGATCCAAGATCCAAGATTATTCATCTTTGATCCTAGATTTGTTATCTTTAATCCTAGATCCTAGATTCTGCATCTCATATCCTAGATCCTAGATTATTCATCGTTGATTCTAGATAGATCTTAACCTAGATAGTGCACTCTAATTTAAGATTATAAATAGCAGACTTGAGACGTATGATATAAATTTCAAAACGTTTTCATTCTTTTTATATATATACCATTACTATATTCTATATATATATACCATTACTATATCTATTGATCTAAAATCCAAATTACTTTATCTTATCAATTCAGTAGTAATAGTAATCTCTGTTTTTTGTTTGTTTGTATGTATTTCCGATCATAACTCTTGAATACCTGGACCGATATACCCCAAATTTTAGTTGGGGAACTCGGGAGAACAACGGGAAGGTTTGAAATTCTATGTTGAGTGGGTTTTATAGGTTAAAAATAACTTAGATCGTAATTTAAGACCAAGCGTTCAGGGTAAACGGCGGAAATAACTATGAGCACCCTGTGCAACGCCGGGCACTTCAGCTAGTATATAATGTATTTTAAACGTGCTCATATCATCACCTTGTTTATACCCAAGGGTACGCCCAATGTGGGCGCTGGCTTTGTTCTCCCTTGACGTGTAAGTGTATGTGAGTGGGGGTGTGTGTGTGTGTATGTTTGTTGTCCATTTATGGAATTGTGTGGGATTGGTTGAGAAATGTAAGTGTCATCTGGTAGCACAGTATACCAGTGCAGCATGAGGAACTAGGCTTACAAAAACTCAGTGACCTGAAACAAGCAGTAAACCAGTTAGAATCATTCTACAAGATTACCCCCCTCCCCTTATCTTTCCCTTATCCCCCCCCCATCCTGTCTTTCTGGCCACGATGGGTAAGAAAAGGGTAGCTCTGAAAATCAGAACAATTCTTAAATATATGTTGAAAAAAACAACAATAATAGATTAATTGTAACAATTGAACAGATTTAGATCAGATAGAGTGGGACCCTTAAAACTGTGAAAAATGAAGACAACATTTAAGTATCATTTTGTGTGTTTGATGTTGTTTGCCAGTAGTTTGGAAATCCAATTATTTCATAGAAAGAATATTTGAACACTGCAAAATTTAAAAAAATCGCTTTAAAAAATTGGACCTTTTAATTTAATAAGTTTATTTTTAGTTTTTACAAATCTAAATTGTGTATCTATATTTTAACCCTATCTCTGCTGGGGTACTTGAAAACAAGGATATGCTGGGGGGGGTCAATTTGACCCCCCCTCTGAATCCCATGTTTGATGTCCAAATATGACAAATGATACATCATTGGAAAGCTCTTGTGCTCTACTTTTATAATCTGCACAAAAAATTGCAACTTTGCAAAAATTGAATTTTTTATCGCAAAATCCAGTTATATAGTAAAAATTTTTCCAAAAAATGAAAAATTATACATTTTTGAAAAGCCCTTGACCATGCCATTTCAAATATGCAAAAAAATTTGCAAAATCTTAAATAAAACTCTCTAAAAAATAAATCGTGATGAAATTATTATGGTATACGTTGAGGAAATCCCATAAACTCAAGAAAATATGAAACTGTGAGATTTAAAAGATTAAAAATATAATTGCGAGAAGCTCTTCAAACCATATTTATGCATATTTAAACTATTAAACTGTGAAGAATACAGTTATCCAACCAGCAAGAATTTAGTGTGAAATCAAATCAATTCCTCCAATGAGAGAAGGAGTTGGCGTGAGATCTCACACCTCTCAGCCAATCAGAGAGCAGCTAGGTGTCAGATCAGACACCTTGCAGCCAATCAGAGAGGAGTATGGTGTGAGATACTACACCTTACATCCAATCAGAGAGATGCCTGGTGTCAAATCCGACACCTTCAACAGCCAATAAGAGTGGATCAATGGAAAGGGGGAGGTGAGAAACATTATTATAGAAATCTTTCTGCTTGAACCAGATCCCACACATAGACCACACTCATTTTGCGTAATTGTTAAAGTTTGAATACAATACACTGTACTATAGCTTCAGTAGAAGTAAATATTTCCATTTGCTGATATCGCCGATTCACTGCAAACTAACCAGAAGGAGAACGTCAATTTCAATCGACATTACTGTTACAGCTTTGTGACATCGTTGATCCTCTAGTTCTGATTTTACGCACAAGTGTAAATAAAGCTAATATATTCGGTTACATATTATAAATTCAAAACATTTTTGTTCTTCCCAATAGCTCTTCAGTTATGATAAAAATATATAAGTTATCAATCGTATTGCATTTTACTTTAGTTTGACGTGGATTGAAGGATTCATAACTCTGATTGAATAATGAGAAAGAAAGATAGATGTTACATCCATACTATTTCTATTGGTTAAGAATAGACAACAAACACATGACTGAACCCTGATTGGATCAGGCGCTAATTGGACTCGGCATACAGGAGTGAATATGATTAAAAGTAGTCGAAAGAGATAAACTTTTTGGGTTAGACCTATTTCTATTTCTTAAGAAATTGTTATCAAAATGTGTTTTAGTTTATATTGAAAAGATAGATATTTTCTACAGAAAAAAATAAAATTTTTATTTTATTTTTTTATCAAATAGAGTAAAGGTCAACCAAAAAAACTATTTGAATTGTGCCATTAAAAGCTTGACATTTTACATAAAAATAAATATATATCTACATAGATTAAAAATAAATATATCTACATAGATTAAAAATAAATATATCTACATAGATTAAAATAATTATATCTACATAGATTAAAAATAAATATATCTACATAGATTAAAAATAAATATATCTACATAGATTAACAATAATTATGACTATTTTTAAAAGATTGCTGCACAAACCTATCTTGTTCTTCAGTAAAATTGCCTACATTAGAAAACTAGGATGTTTTGATTTTTAATAATTGAAAGGATCTGATATTAAATGTTCAAAATCCTGCCACTAAATGTTTGAAAATTTGAGAATATGAAAAGCTAAAAAGAAAAATATTATAAGCGTACAAAGTCGAGAAATGTATCCTATATTTTTTTCTGTTTACACACGAAAACAGTGTATGAATTTTACAAGTCACAATAGCTCTCAAAGTATATTATGAAAACTCCCCCCCCCAAAAAAAAAATCTTTACAAATTGAAATCTTTTCAATCATAACTCCTCTTATTTAAGAGCTATTGAATTAAAACAAAAAATTTAATTTCTAATAATAAGCAACCGGACAAATGTATTTTTTACAACTGTGCTTAAAAAATGACTACTAGAAGAGCTATGAGATCACAAAGCCGTACCAGGAATATTGCATAAATTTGACCATCCCTTGATATCTATTGTTTGCAGTGTGACAGCCTTTCTATTTTATATCTATAGTGCCCCCTCCCAAACCATGGCCCCCGGCCCTTTCTTTTGTCTCCCC